ATCGATAAAAAAATCATAACCAGCTTCCTATGTCTTCAACACCATCTAAGACTGTGAGGAATTTAAGGAGGTGTTAAGGAAACCAAATGTTGACCTAATAGTGGTTCAAATGCTTATTATTAGTTTAGTGACATATTTCTCTTTGGAAGGAAAAACTAGATGATAATATTTTCTTCTTAGGTCCCAGTCTTAGATGTTGAGTCTCCATAATAAATCACCCCTTAAATAAATAAAATGTAAAATTCTCTAAGGCAGAGTTTGACAACCATTTACTGTAAGGGCCAGATAGTAAATATTTTAGGCATTGCAGACCATATGGTCCCTGTCACAGCTACTCTACTCTGCTGTTGTAGCACAATCATACTTGAATGGATGAGTGTGTGCCAATCAAACTTTATTTACACAAACGGCAGTAAGGTAACTTTGGCCTGTAGATCATCACTTGCCAACTCCTGATTAAGGCATGAATGAATGAAGATGACAGTCACCATAAATGATTCACAAAATCACAAGTTATGAGTGAGGGACAGGTTTCAGGTGATTCTTACATGATGATTCTGGAATTATTAAGGCTTTTTGGTTAATAATGAATGATGTCATGTCTTTTATTGATTGTGGGAGTGGGCTGCATGCGTTCTCTTAGCTCAATATATTTGACTCAGGAATGAACTGGCCTTTGAAGTAGATTTGGGTTCTATAAGTTGACTGTCAGTGAACCCATCCTGGCTTCCTGCTCTTGGTGCAGAGAAAGGATCACTTAGAGGAATCAGAAAGCCTGAGACAATGGGGGAAATATTATAGCAATAACTGCCATTTATTGACCTGCCCTCTCCATCACCAACTATGACCCCTAGTATCTCATTTTACAGAATAAGTGAGAGAGGACAAGTAAGTACCATGATCAGACAGTCAGGGTCTGAGCCAGCCGAATTGCTTTCCCCGTGGCCACAACACTTCCCTCCACAAAAGTAACCAGCTTTCACTGGGACACTCACATTTCTTCTGATTTAGAACCAGACCTTGCAGGGTGGGGGGTAGGGGGACGGAATCACCTCTTCTTCCTTCTGGCTTTACTTTCCAGTAGCTGTTATGTTTAAACACAAACAATAAATGTCTCCTAAGTTACCCCTTACCATGCACCAAGTATAAAGCTTTTAGTATGTTATAAAATCTATCTTCTTTCCATTTCCAGAACTGCAGAGACAAGAAAATGAAAACTCAAACAATTAAGCAATTTGTGCAAAGTTACACCTATAGTGAATTGTGGAGTCAGAATTTGAACATAGTTTTCACCAACTCCAACTGCGTGCAACTGCGGTAGAGCTTAGTGGAAATTGTCAGGCTCTCCAGCCAGACAAGGTTCAGATCTCACACTTGCTACTTACTAGTTGCATCACCTTGGACAAATTGACATGTGTGTTAGTTTCTTGATTTGTCAAATTTAGGATGATGATACTAATTTCCTTCTCACAGATTAATGTAAGGAATAAAGCAGTAACATGCACGTAATAAACAGCACATGCATTGGCTTTTTCCACAGACTACAAGCTCTATGAGCACAAGAGTCTGTTTTGTTCACTCTTGTATTCCTAGCACTTAGAATAATGTCTAGTACATAGTAGGCAATATTGTTGCATGAATGAAAAATGTTCAAACTAGTCTTTAGATTAGGTTGTGACTGTGCTCAAAGCCAGAATGAATAAACAAGGCTCTCCTTTTTCTTTCCTTTCTATGGTATACCATGAATTTGATAGGTAAAATTTAATATCTTTGAGATCATAATTTCAGGTGTAATAATGGAAACTAGTGATTGTCTTAGTTATTTCAATGTTCCTAACAAAAGTGGATGTTAGTGCAAAGGCTCATAGCACACACATAATTTCAGAGATACTCTCCTACTTCATTGCTGCTCCTAAAGGAGCTTTCTTATGTAGTGCATTTTAAAACATTTTTTTAAAAAGATTTTATTTATTTATTTATTTGAGAGAGAGAGAGAGAGTGAGAGAGAGAGCGCAAGAGGGGGTAGGGTTAGAGGGAGAAGCAGACTCCCTGCCGAGCAGGGAGCCCGATGTGGGACTTGATCCCGGGACTCCGGGATCATGACCTGAGCCGAAGGCAGACGCTTAACCAACTGAGCCACCCAGGCGCCCTGTAGTGCATTTTAAAATTCCTTTTAAAAAAATCTAATCTGTCATTAGCACATCGATTTTATCTCTGAAAATTTATCTTTACTAAGCCTATATTATATTTAATACTGTGTATTCTAAATCCAGGCCAGGATTTAGTGGCAACTGCTGCCAGGAGCCCCTGTAATGAATGAATTATGGTCCCATTTAGCAGGTGAGACTGTGTTTGATGTCTACACTTCAGTAGTGATGGGGGCTCCAGAGAGCAACAATGCCTCCAGAGAAAAAGGCAGCCTCATCCCCCAGTTTGAACAAGCACAAAGAGGAGCATACCCAGGAAATATGGAAGTGCCTTTGGAGCAAACAGCTCTTGCAGGATTTATGTGCAGCTTTCACAGAGACTAAGCTCCCTATATTCCCCAAAACACCACCTAGACAATGTTGCACCTTGGCAGCAAACCATTTTTAAGGCTTTATTGGATTTATGGTAATATTCATCCTGAGTGGTGATTAACTGATACCCCTAACACATAGCAAAGCACCGGGGTTCTAATCTTTCTCCCTGGCTTGCACTGTGTAAATTATTATTTTCATTAAGATTAAGCATCTCACAAAATTACACAGCAGTTAACTTATGCAACTACCTCCTTAGAATGCTCTATCTTTGAAAATATGCCTACCAAAGAATCCTTTAAGATCTCATAGCACATCCTATGTAATTGGAGGCCCAAACGAAGCATTGTTTTTGTTAGTTTTAATGCAGAATCCTCTACGTGTTTTCTATAAAACAAAGTAAATAAGTTTTTCCCTTAAAGTTTCTTCTGCTTGCAGTCAAAATGATTTGCAGACTTATTAGCCTGATTTGTATTTTTCTTCAAGTCAATTAGAATTAAATATGTAACACATTTTGGAAAAATTTGTAAATGAAAGATCTGCTCCATTTTAAAATATCTGTACCTTTGATTATCTTGTACACTAAACTATAAATTAAACTGTAAGATGAAAAGTCAAGGATGCTGTGAAGTTGAGGGGCATCTGGGTGGCTTAGTCAGTTGAGAGTCCAAATCTTGATTTCAGCTCAGGTCATGATCTCAGGGTCCTGGGATTAAGCCCCACATCAGGCTCCCTGCTCAGCGGGGAGTCTGCTTGGGATTCTCTATTTCCCTCTCCCTCTGCCCCTCCCACCCCTGCTCCCATGCTCACTCGCTCTCTAATAAATAAACAAATCTTAAAAAAAAAAAAAGAATGCTGTGAAGTTGACTTGAGGTACATATATCTCTCCATATATATATGGAGAGAGAGATATGTAGATATACATATATATATAGAGAGAGAGAGAGACTTAAGATTTTTATATATAGTTAGATTTATATATATATATATATATATACACACACAGAGAGAGAGAGAGAGATGTAGAGAGAGAGAGAGAAAAAGAGAGAGATACTGTGAAGACTATTTTTCAGGAACCCATTGGTAAAATTTAGTTTTGAGGTTAACACCATGAATTAAGAATTTGGTCTACTCACTGATATGAGGAATTCTTAATCTCAGGAAACAAACTGAGGGTTGCTGGAGTGGGGGGTGGGGTGGGAGGGATGGGGTCGCTGGGTGATAGACATTGGAGAGGGTATGTGCTATGGTGAGCTCTGTGAATTGTGCAAGACTGTTGAATCTCAGATCTGTACCTCTGAAACAGATAATGCAATATATGTTAAGAAAAAAAAAAGAAGATAGCAGGAGGGGAAGAATGAAGGGGAGGGAATCAGAGGGGGAGACTAACCATGAGAGACGATGGTCTCTGAAAAACAAACTGAAGGTTCTAGAGGGAAGGGGGGTGGGAGGATGGGTTAGCCTGGTGATGGGTATTAAAGAGGGCACATTCTGCATGGAGCACTGGGTGTTATGCACAGACAATGAATCATGGAACACTACATCAAAAACTAATGATGTAATGTATGGTGATTAACATAACAATAAAAATTTTTTTAAAGAAAGAATTTGGTCTAAAATGACTGCAATAAAGACAAATAAAATGTAGCCTGAGATAACTTATACATAAAATGTTCTAAGCCTGGAAATATGGTAAAATTCCCTGTTGCTTAATCTTCTATTGAAATAATAGCTAAAATTTGCTATGCATGAAAAATTATAGGCAAAGCATCTTACATGTGTTATTTTATTTCCTCCTCAGGTAATATTATTATCCTCATTTACTGATGAAGAAAAAGAGAAAGAAATAGGGATTTGTAAAGGTCAAGTAATTTGCCAGAAGTTGCCAGGGTAAGGGAGGAGCAGAGCCAAGATTCAAATCTAGAGAACTTGCCTCTGGAACCTGAATTCTTACCCAAGTTATAAGCCTAAATCCCTGATGAGACTGGCAATAAACACGTGTTTCAGTTGAATATGAAAATGGTCACATGTACAACCTATAAATACAATCCTAATATAGGTAATATAACAAGTAGTATTCAGAATAAGCAAAAACACATTTGCCTATCCCCTAAAAGAGCAATTCTAACTTTTAGAGAGCAGAATTTCAGGGAATGATAACTTCACAGTACCCTATAAGCTCCATTTTGTTTTTGCATCCCAGATTATGATTTCTACATCTTATTTGAATTCATTAACTAACCAATGAACATTCCTGTAAGTATTGTTATTCTTTCTTTTTTAATCTAGACATGACAAATCTGAGCTTCAAAGAAAAAAATCAACTAATGTCACGTAGCAACACGGTAGCAGAAATGAAATTCAAACCCAAGTCTTAACGATTTCAGGTCTAATTAATTATTTTAACCTTCAGCTACAAGATGACAGAGTGAGAACAAAAATGGTTTGTGAAATCAGCTCGACACTTCTTTCTTCTCAAAGGTCGCTACCCTCAGGAGAACAAGGGAACCTACATTCCAGTTCCTGTTGTCCCGGAGCTGCAGAGAGGCAAGTGGGGGGCCAAAGTTGTCATGAGAGAGGACAGGTCTGTCCGGCTATCCATCCAGTCTTCTCCGGAGTGCATTGTGGGGAAATTCCGTATGTATGTTGCTGTCTGGACCCCCTATGGCATACTCCGCACCACCCGAAACCCAGAAACGGACACGTACATTCTCTTCAATCCTTGGTGTGAAGGTAAGAAGCAAACATTTTTCTCATTAAAAAAAAAAATAGTTCATATTTTTCTAATGCATCCCTTTTTGGAGGGATAGCAGAATTACTCTAGAAGATATGTCCCTTTCCTATATACACTGTTTCCCATGGTTAAAAGACAGAAAAAAAAATATGAAATTTGTCCTTAATGTATATGAGGACAAAGCCTGTGGATATTAAGTTAATGCTGCTATACAATTCATTCCAGGAAATAATGGACGAATGCCTGAAGTTGCACAATTAGTTAATTGTGGAGCTAGGTGTTAATGGTGTCACTTCTGTGTATGTTATTACTCTGTAAACAAAATGGGCTTTCAAGACTTTTAGGTTCTATAATCTGGTTTCAGAAAAATAGGATAAAGTTGATCCTATCCTCCCTAATTCAAGAACAGAAAGCCTGGATGTTGAAAGAATCCCATAAATTTGTGTATATGCCGAGTGGGTGCAAATTTCATAAGCCGTAACTCTGGATGTACAAACATGTAACTTTAACATAATAAAACTTAATCTCTACTGCTATTTTGAGTCTTCCTTTCTGTCTGTTACAGAAGCTTAATCTATTTATATTCAAATAAAATATGTCAAATCCTAGGATTTCTCTCAATTCAATTTAAAAACTTAGTCACACACAGTATTTTTCCCTCATCCCCATCTCTGTCCTTCTTTATCGGCCCACTGCTTCCATACTTGGTATGGAGCTGATTTGCAGTTCCAGAGGCAGAAGCAAACATTGCAACAGCATTAATGGAAGAGGGTGCACTTTTAGATCTTAAAAAATAAGGTAATGAAACTTATAAAAGCTGACATAGGACAGATGTCTCACATCATCTTACTTCCTGTGTATTGCTCTCCACTCTCTTCTAAAATGAGCCTATATTTTTTTTGCTGATTTTGAATGTCTATTCCTCGTGAGAGTTGCATCTGAATCAGGATTGAGCTGCACTTACATGTTGATAATAAGTGAACAACAATGTTGTCTACTCATATATAACATAGACCTGGATCCTACTGACCTTTTCTTTGAATTATCAGTTCCAGTGGTGTTGGCAGATGGCACTGAGCTAATCCTATACTCCCCACTCACCACCCCATCATCTTGTACCTGATAATCCTATCTCTGAGACAGATGTCCAAGGTTGATGGTAATAGGAGATGTTAATGGGGCCATGTGCTACTCAAAGGTGCACTCCTGTGTACAATAATCTTGTCAACCAGATATAAAGCATTCTGTGACTGAGGCGATGTGGTGCTATTTACAGAGGTGGGAAAGACTGAAGGGAATGAAGATGTAGAGACACACTATGATTTTAAAAATGTTAAGTTGGAGATAACTGTGGATACCTAAGCAGAAATGACAAGTAGGTATTCTGCTCTGTGAATCTGAAGACGAGAATCAGGGTTGTAAACTTGGGAGTCATCTGCACCTAGGTAGAAAATATAGAGAGGAAAGAAGATATAGGATCAAGCCCTAAGGAACACCAGCATTTGGAGGTCTAATAGAGAAAGAATTAGCAAAGGAATGAAACAGAGGAGTGCTTAGGACATGGCCTATTGTAAAAAAATTGTATTTTAAAAATTCATATTTATAAAATAAATAAACTAGGAATTCTTTATTGACTTTCTTTGCATTACAAAAAGAAAATCATGTAATTTCATGTAACTATCCAGCACGCTAAGGGATTTATAAAATGATATGGTTTACCCCAAATTTGGTATAATCCCAAAAAAGGATTATATCACATATCATGGGGTACGTGTCTACATGCATTTCAACTTATGTTTCCAGTTTTCCAGAGGTAAAAATGATTAGTGATGTTGCCTGACACTGAGTTTATAGGAGAATCATTCAGGAGGTGGATAGTCTTTCTACTACTTGATCCCTGCCTTGGTCTTCAGTTGTATCCATTGAGCAGCTTGCAGGTTTCCCTGTTCAGAAGGAGTCGCCTAGTGTAGAGAAAACATGGCCCTGGCACTCGATGCTGCATTACAGAAAAGGAGCAGAGGGCCCTCCCCTAAGTACCACTGAATGGACAAAGGTGAGAATAAAACTAGATAGATCAGTTTGGAAGCTGTGGCCCAGGACAAAGAAGATGGACAGGACTATGGTGGTGGCAGTGGAGATGAGGAGGAGGGGATGAATTGGAGATCTACTTTGGATTTAGAACAGATATTGCAGAGGGGTTGATCATGGGAGGTGAAGAAGAGGGAAGAGTCAAGAATAAGTCTAGATAGCTGGTATCTGACCAACTAGGTTGGTGGTGGTGCCATTTTCAGAGCTAGGAAGACTGGGGGAAGTGGAGGAGAAGATCTAGGAGTGGAACTAAGAATTACATTTAGAAATGTTAATTTGGTGATATCCGTAGGATCTCCAAGTGAAAACATCAAGTAGCCCCTTGAATCAGTGAATCTATAGCTCCAAGGAGATGGCTGAGCTTGGGATGTAAATACGGGCACCTTCAGGAGCTAGCAGGGAAGTTTAAAGAAAGAACAAACATGGATTTAGTATCATCAACAATTAGAGTCTAGACAAAGGAGAAGGAGACAGAGAAGGAGTTAAAGGAAATCAGAAGAGCATGGTGTCACAGAGCTGGATAATTGATTGATTCAAGAAGACAGCAACTGGTTCTTTGGAATGCTGCTGATGAGTTAAATAGGATAGGGAAAGAAAGTGGCCATAAACTGTGGAAATATGGAAGTCACTGGGGAACTTGGAAAGATTGCTTTACCACAGTGATGGAGACAGAAGCCAGAGAGATGGGCGTGGGCTCCAGCGTAATGGGAAGTAAGAACGTGGAGATAACAGCTATTGCCATCTTCTGCAAGAAGACTTTCTGCAAAACAGAGATGGTGATAAGAAGGGCAAAGAATTTTTTAAAGACAGACTAGAGTAGGCATAATTTTATGGAGATGGAGACAAATCAGGAAAAGATGAGTTTACTTCCCAGAGAGAGGGTAGTGATCCACAGCCTTGGCTGCACATTAGAATCACCCAGGGTATTAACTACTTATGTCTCAGACATTCTGGTTGATCTGGTGTGTAGCCTGGGCTTTAGGGTTTGTCTGTTTTGTTTTCTTTTTTAGAGAGAGAGAGAGCGTGAGTGGGGGGAAGGGGAGGGGCAGATGGAGAGGTAGAGAGAGAATCTGAAGCAGGCTCCACATCTAGTGCAGAACCAGACATGGAGCTTGAGCTCACCACCCTGAGATCATGACCTGAGCCGAAATCTAGAGTCAGACTCAACTGACTGAGCCACCCAGGCGCCCTTGGGCTTTGGGGTTTTTAAAAAGGTCTGCAGGTGATTTTTAAAGCCAAGGTTGAGAAGAACTGACTTAGGGAGTGAAATCCTTGAGTGGGTGGAATTCAGGAAACAGGTGAAGAGCCCTTGATAGGTGGGGCTGTCCACCTTCCACTGTGACAAGAGCAACATGGAAGATGGGTGAAGTGTGCAGCTTTTCTAGATTCAGTAGAAGGAGGACAAGGTTGTTTCCATTTTGTGATTCTCTTTTTCCCAGTGAGGTTAAAAGCAAAGTCATCTGTTGAGAACCAGAAGCAAGGAGGGGAGTGTTGGAGGCTTGATAAAAAAGGACTGAGAGTTGGAGGTGGGAAGTGGGCTTATTCTAGGAACATGGCAGGTGGGTCCTCCCTGCTCCCCAGAACTCAGGGAAAACCACCACAGTCCCCCTAATTCTTTGGCCTATGAGTGTCCCAACTTCTCTATAAATTCCTCGGGGATATCTTCATGGTCATCTCCACCTCTCAGAATCCAATTTCTCCCAGTGCTCAGAGCAGTTATGCCTCTGAAACATCAAAAAAGGTCACACAGAACATCTATGTGCTAGACGTTGGCTGCAATTTGGCATGGAGGGTGAGAGGAGGCAAGACTGACTCCATTTCTCAAACGTGGAGCACATCGAAATGGCCTGGAGGGCCTGTGAAAGTGTTTCTGGGCAGCACCCTCAGATTGAGTAGCTCTGATAGAGCCTGAGAATTGCATTTCTAACCAGTTCCCAGCAGATGCCGATGCTGCTGGTCAGGGACTACACTTAGAGAACCACTGGTTTACATAATAATCACAAAAAAATAATGACAAAACATAGGAGAGTATACTTTGCTTAAAATTTCACCAACTCCTCCCTAAACCCAATCCCGGTCTCTCCCCACCTTATTGCCTCTTCTCTAAACCCTTTCATTCCTCCTTGTTCCTATGCTCTTCTTGCATCCTCTCTTAGGAGCAGACTGTCTTTATTCTCTCATGCAGAGCAGTTCAGCAAGCTTTTTTATTTTGCTGTTTGGGTTCCTCCAACAATGAGACTTTTGGAACTACACACTTTTCCAAGACCATTCCCTCCAGAAAAATTCTGGTGCCAGTTTTTAAGATAAGATCCTTTTATATTCTTATATTAATACTCACTGAGGGGCACCTGGGTGACTCAGTCAGTTCAGTGTCTGACTCTTGATTTCGGCTCAGATCATGATCTCAGAGTTGTGAGATTGAGCCCTGCATCGGGCTCTGAACTCAGCGCAGAGTCTGCTTGAGATTCTTTCCCTCTCCCTCTGCCCCTCCCCCCACTCTCTCTCACTCTCTCTCTCTCTAAAATAAAATAAATAGTGAAATCTTTTTTAGGAATGCTCACAGAGATCTCCGAGAGAATGTTTATGAAATAGGAGAAAGACATCACCTCCTCACTTCATTCACTGTGTGGTTTTCCCCGCCCAGAAATTAAGGCATAAAATCCAAAAGAGGATCTGTGGGATGGACCCCACACACAGCCCAGTACACTGTATCCTGACAGCTGTTATGCTAATTCATAACAAGGGACTCACAGAGATACGGTCTGGCAATTGGATAGCAGGTAAAAAGAGAGCCATTGCCCAAGTAGAAAAAATACCAAAGAGGAAATCAGAGGTTGACAAAATAGAGCAAGATGAGCAAGATGCTGAAAATACTGCACACTTGATGTGGAAGTGAAATCCAAGGTGGCTT